AGGAAGATGTGATCAGGATGTGGTCTTCCCTTTTCACTCTTCTTATTGCTTAACTCAGAGTAACTTTTACAGGTGTTGCCTGTTTCCCTGGTTTATGGCAGCTGGTATTGGTTCTTGCCTGGGTTTTGGTGTTTTATCAAGTGTTATTGCAGCTTGGCTATTTGGCAGCAGTTGCTGACTCTTTTCGTGTAATGTAGGGGGACAAAGAGTCCTAGCAGAAGGGAGGCTATGTGACAGTCCATAGCAGAAGGGAGGCTATGTGACAGCCAAACAACACCAGTCAGGTAGAAAACAAAACTAAAAGCAAAATCAAAAACAAAAGCAATAATGAGATAAAAATAAAACAAGACAAAAAAAAAAGAAGAAGAATTCAGCATCAGAAAAAATAACAAGATTAAATAAGGCAATCTCTAGTCACACACACACACACACACACACACACAAAGAAAAGAAAACAAAAAGACCCTGTATAGGGTTTCTAAGGAACAGCTGGTGGGCTCAAACCACCAACCTTGCAGTTCAAACGGCTCTGCAGTCTGGTGCCTTAACCCACAGAGCCACAGCTGGACTGCCTTGTTGCTGGTGGTAAAAACCACCTCAAGGCGTCTCAGCTTGTGCTGGCTTATGCCTTGATGGGCGGGCCTGAGCCTCGGAGGTTGGGCAGAGGGCTAGCCTAGGCAGAGGGGTTGGAGAGCGGGGTTAGTGGCTGCAGGCAGATGGCATCCTTGTCTGATGACATCAAAAAATGCCTCTGTCTCCCTGCACCGTGGGCACCCGGCCCGCCCTACATCCATGCCAACAATGCTTCCCGTATCAATGAGGCCCCCCCCCCCACGAAGGACAGTGTCAGTTCCTGTGGCCCCACTGGCTCTCTGGGCACGCTCGCCCTCTGAATGGGTCCGCTCAAGCACCGCGCTCCAAGCTCCGCAGTGGGCGGGTGCAGTTCTGGCATGGGAGCAGAGTGCAGGCGAGTGCAGGTGGGCGGAAGCTCAAAATGCTCACAACTCCCCAGCCGCTTGATCCTTCAAAAAAGCAAGTCCACAATGTTGAAGGCTAAAGTCTTATGGTTGCCCAAAGGCTGTCTGTCTACCAGGCGGGGGCCTCCCCTGTGCGATACCACCCACACCTTCCCCGGAGCCCGCTCACCTGTGCTGCCCAGTCAGGGAAGTGCCGGAAGTCCTCCTTTTCATTTTTGACAACTTCCAATTTTCCCAGATTCATACTTCGTACATTCCATGTTCTGATTTTCAATGGATGTTTATAGCTGTTTCTCTTCATTTTGAGTTATGCCCCATCAGCAAATGAAGAACCTGTGGGCTTTTCTCCCACGAGCTTTACTCCATTTGCATCATCACAGTCAGCTCTACTTTGAGGAGGCAGCTTTTCCCCAGTTGCATTTTGAGTGTCTTCCAACCTGAGGGGCTCATTTTCCAGCACTATGTCTGACAGTATTTCTCTGCTATTCATAAGTTTTCAGTGGCTAAAGATTCGGAATTAGTTCGTCACTCTTCCTAGTCTCTTTTTCTGGAAGCTCATCTGAAACCTGTCCACCATTGGTGACCCTGCTGGTATTTAAAATACCTGTGGCATAGCAACTCACAAGCTACCACAGTACAACAAGCTGACAGACGAGTGGTGGCCGTTTAGTTTTACGTGGAAACGGTCACTTTAAATTTCGAGATCTGTGCACATGAGTAGTAGAACCCTCCAGGGGCGGGGGTAGGGTGTCCATTCACTCAGGCATCCCCTCTAGTCACCAGAATATAGGTGTGCAGACAGCGAGAGACCAATGAACAGATACCAAAAAAACGAATGCCCACACCCGTATCTCCGCGGTTCTGGCTGTTCTGATCCTTCTCCTGCTTGGTCTCTCCCAAGATGGCAGCTCCAGGAATAGCTGAGCGTCTCAAATTAGAAAGCAATGGATTTCTTGATTCTGCTACAAATTCCCCTAGCTGTAAGCCTTCCAATCTTCTCAATATTCCTTTATATGTGGTTCAGCGTTCTAGCACCATCCCCTGAGCCGGCTTGGTCCAGTAGTCTGTGTTGTTGCGGACAGAGCTCCTCACTGCACATCTACCTGATTCACCATCTTGATGGATATAGGTATATATATGCATAAAAGTATATATATGCATCATTTCATATTGGGTGTGTTTATGTGGATGTGTGTGTGCAAATTTGCTCATTTTCATCAATATATTTTAGAGGATCCTAACTTTGAAAGAGTGCATCCTAAGTGCTCCCTTAGCTCATTCTGGTAACGCCTCCAGTCCCTGGCCGGCCTGGTTTCTGCAGGGCCGGGAACAGGATGGTGGAAATGTCTGCTGAGTAAGGTGTGGCCGTTTTCTCAGGGGTCTGCATGCATGTCTTTCCTCTCCCAGTCTTGCTCAGAAGATCGTGGCCACCTACCGCCTGTGCTCAGAGCAGCTCTCCTCACAGCATCACTATGACTATGGCATGCGTGCTGTCAAGTCGGTGCTCACTGCCGCCGGCAACCTGAAACTCAAGTATCCCGAGGAAGATGAGAGTGTCCTGCTGCTCCGGGCCTTGCTGGATGTCAACCTGGCCAAGTTCCTGGCTCAAGATGTCCCTCTATTTCAGGTAGGTAGTAGTTTGGAACTTTGGTCAAATACTGGGGCTCCATTTCTAAAGATGAAATGTTTTGGGGAGCATCCTCTCGACATCTTTGTGGTGTTCCTCTTCCATGTTTTGGTCCCACTCTGTGTCTAGCCAGCATCCCTGTGGCTTCATACCCTGCCTCAGTGTAACGTAATAATGTTAATGGCAAGGAGTCCCTGGGGAATGCAAATGTCAGGTACTCACTAATAACTGAAAGAAGGGGGATTCAGACTTACCCGGGAGAGTCTCAGAAGAAAGGCCTACTGATCTGCATCCAAACCATCACAGCCTTTAAAACTTCATGTAGAACAGTTCTACTCACCATGAGCCAGAACCAACTTGACAGCAACTGCCTTGGTTTTGGACCGGTGATAGCAAACATCCCTGTCTCGTTCCTAATTTTAATTGAAATGATATCAATGATAAGATAATAGTAGCTGTTAGATTTGGGGAGTTGTTTTCAGCAAGTTAAATGACCAGACTGGGTGTGGCACAAAGACATGACTGTCTTGTGTATTTCCAGGAGATTCCTGGGACTCGAAGACAGTATGGACTCATTAAGTATTTGCTATCTTTTACTGTTATTTGAGAGGAGGGCCATGTTTTACAGATAGTGTTGTAATTTGTCATTTTAGATGAGTCTTATGGAGGTAACATGAGGTTTAGACTTTTTCAAAGATTTCTGATGTCTACAGATCTCTTTTTAGGAAAATATTGAGATCATCTTCACTGTCTCTTGAATTCTTGTTAACAGGGAATTATATCAGATTTGTTTCCTGGAGTTGTTCTTCCAAAGCCAGACTATGACATTTTCATGGAAGTGCTGAATAAGAACATCAAAAAGATGAAACTTCAGCCAGTACCTTGGTTTATTGGGAAAATTATTCAGGTTGGTTTCTTATATCCTTCTGAGAATTTTACTGTTTGCTGGGGTCAGGTATTAGAAAAACTTCTGGTACCTTGGAATCTGAGTGGAGATGGAGGTAAGTGTTTAGCTTGTTGTATACCTTCAGTTTTTATGTATAGTTGTCAACGTTTAAAACCCATTATGAGGACACATCTAAAAGTTCATGGAAAAATAGAATTTTAAAAGACAATAGAATTTTTTCATGAACTTTTGAAACCTCCTTTAATTTGAGAATGAAACATACCTTTGGCATTCGATTTTGAATGAATCAGCACTTTCTCAGTTCCCAGTGATAGAGACTGCCTTAATCAACTGCCTTAATCAACTCAAACTGCCTTAATCAACAAGAGAATTTATCTAGTCACTTAACTGAATAGTCTAGAAATAGGCTGGCCTCAGGCATGCCTGAGTCCAGGTGTTTTGATAATGTCATCAGGAATCACTCTCTCTTCATTCCTGGGCTCTGCCTCTCTCTCCATTCTTAGATGGGCCCACAGGAACCTTAGCAGTAACCTTCTCAGGTTCATGCTCAGAAGAAAAGGGAAATTTTACTCTCCACATGGTTTTAGCAATAGTCAAAGAACTAGATTTGAATGGGTCTGATGAAGTCACATCATCCCTGAACCAGTCACAAAGACAAGCCTTACCCTCTCCCCCACCCTACCCATGCACCTCCACTGGAAGTAGAGATGGACTCAGCATCATTCCAGTCATGTGTACCCAACCACCAATGGTGGTTCCCCTGAGAAACAGTGTGTTGTTGTCAATAGATGAGAAAAGAGATGTTGGGCCAGCGAGCCACAAATATCTCTACAGTCCTAACTTTAGACAACCTTAGTCATGCTAGTTTGAGGGTGAAATGATCAAATGCACTTTCTCTGCAGAATTACAGGCCAGAGCTGCAACGCACCTTAAGTGCCATCTCGTCTCGTTCATTCTCCATAAAGAAACCAGAAAGGGAAGAGATTTGAGATGAATACAGACATTGGTTCAAATCCCACTCCCATCACTTATTTCTGTAGGGTATTGGGCAACTTAGGAGCTCTGGTAGGATAGTGGTTACAAGTCGGGCTGCTAACCTCAAGGTCAGCAGTTCAAAACTATCAGCCATTCTACAGGAGAAAGATAAGGTTTTCTGTTCTCGTAAAGATTCACAGTCTCAGAATCCTGTGCACGGTAGCATAGGTTTCCATTCAACAATTTCTGTGCAAGTTGTTCAGTGACATCTGTTACTTTCATCAGAACACATGAACCTTCTCACTGTTTCCATTTTGGTTGTCCCCGTTTCCATTCATGTAGGTTCCCTGCTCCCTTACATTCTCCTCTGTATTAGGTCTCCTTTCATTGAGGGACTCAAAGGTCAAAAGAAAGAGAGAAAAAGCCATAAAATTTCACATAAATGTAAATGGAAGAGCAGTCCAAAAACTCAAGAAATGAGCTTTCACATAGCTGTTGTTTCTCTAGGCTGAAGGTAAATCTATATGGAAGGTTACTTCTGGTTTTCAGCATGAGGCTTATCTAAAGAAATATGTTTTCATCTACTGAGAGCGCCAGTAAAATCAAAACAGCATTTAAGTTTTGAGATGGGCCATTCCACCTGAAGTGAAATTTGCTAAAATGACCACTCTTTCCTTTTAATCTGTAAAAGCAAATGTCAATGCTGTGAAGAATAGGATATATGGAGGAGATAATAATCAATGTAATGAAACAAGCTATATGAATGGTTGAATGTGAAGCTGATGATGTGCCCTGTAAACTTTCACTCAATCCAAAATAAAAACATTTAATTAAAAAAAAAAAAAGAATAGGTTAGGGGCACTGAAGTCAGACAGCCCTGTGTTCAAATCCTGATTCCACCAGTGATGAGCTTTGGCAAGTTACTTAACTTCTTCTCTTGGGCTTAGGTTCCCATCGGTACCAGCCACTCTTCGGGAACCCTACACAGGGTCGCTAAGAGTTAGAACCAACTTGACAGTACTTAACAACCACAACAACAATTTGTGCATGGATTAAATACAACAATTTGGGTAAATCACCTGATGCTCATTTATCACCAGGTTTTTCCTCCCTTAGAACAGCTAGTGGGTTCAAACCACCAACCTTTCGGTTAGCAGGCAAGCACTTAACCCTTGTGCCATCAGACGCCTTATATAAAGGATGTTGCTTTGTTGGTAAAGTGCTGTCAAGTCGGTTCTGACTCATAGTGACTCTGTATAAAGTTTCCAAGGAGCGGCTTGTGGGTTTGAACAAATGCCCTTGTGGTTAGCAATTGTTTGGATTTAAGCCCTGATGGGAGAGCCCTTCCAACAAAGGTAGTTGCCAAGACACAAAAAAAAAACTGACCAGGAGATAATCTGAGAGATATTCCTTTATTCCAAAGGGAAACTTACTGACCAGGGTAGCAGTACTGCAAGGTCGATGGTTCAAACTCACCAGCTGCTCCTTGGAATCCCTATACAGGGTCACTATGAGTCAGAACCAACTCAACAGCACTTAACAATAACAACATCCTTTAAATAAAGATCCCTGGTGGCACAAGGGTTAAGTGCTTGCCTGTTAACCGAAACGTTGGTGGTGTGAACCCACCAGCTGTTTGTTTAAGGGAGAAAAGAAATGGTGATGTGCTTCCGTAAAGAAACACTTGGAAACACTCCGGGGCAGTTTCATTCTGTCCTATCGAGTTGCTATGAGTCAGAATCGACTTGATGACACACAACAACAACAAATGAATAAGGAGCCCTGGTTGTACAACAGTTAAGCTCATAGTGTAACAGAAATGGTGGCAGTTGGTCCCAGTCAGTAACTGTGGAGGAAAAAGCGCTGGTAACCTACTTCCATAAAGATTACAGCCAAGAAAACTCTGTGGGACAATTCGACTCTGCCACATGGAGCCTCTGGGAGTCAGAATCAGCTGAACAGCACCCAACAGTTGTTGTTAAGTGCCGTCGAGTCAGTTCTAACCCATAGCGACCCTGTATAGGGTTTCTGAGGAGCAGCTGATGAGCTTGAACTGCCAACCTTGCAGTTCACTCCCACTTTGCAGTCCAGTGCATTAATCCACAGCTCCACACCAGCACCCAACAAGAACATCCTTTAAATGGCTGCCTGGGTAGCACAAACAGTTAAGGCATCAGCTAACAACTGATAAGATGTTGGTTCGAGTCTACCCAGGGGTATCTAGGAAGAAAGGTTTGCCCATCTCCTTCCAAAAAGGTTACAACTGTTGAAACTTGAACATAGAGTAGCACTCCTCTGACACAGTTAGGGTCGCCTGGCATATTGTGGGTTAATGTGCTGACTTTAAAAAGCAACTGCTCTGCTTTTTCTTTTTTTTAATCTTTTAAATAATCTGAGCCATGGATGTATGTATTCATCCAAAGAATATTTAAACAATAGATGCCCAAAAGACTACGGCTCATCAGATAGAGATGTGACCGTGATACAGATGTGACCCCTCATGGAGTCGTGACTAACTTGCACCTTGGGAAAGCCTGCAGTGATTCACTTCTTACATGTTTCCTCCCAGATCTATGAGATGATGCTGGTCAGGCATGGCTACATGATCGTCGGAGACCCCATGGGCGGCAAGACCTGTGCTTACAAGGTGTTGGCTGCAGCTCTGGGTGACTTAAATGCAGGTAAAATGCACACCTCTGACTTCCAGAGGAGTCCAGGACTCAGTGCTCAGTAGGCTGACTCCATGGAGTTACTGCCAGACTGTGAGGTTTGCCAGTCCTAAGCGGTGACGCCAGACCTACAAATAGACCATGGCACACAGATGTCTGCTGGCGGATAGCTCAAGGCAGGGCAAGGCAGGTTCCATTTAACTTAAGGAATTTTCTTGAACACTGAAAGGTGGATTCTCCAAAGGTTTCCCATTGGTCTAAAGCAAATCATTGTATTAGTTGAAATCAAATCACTACTATTTTTTCATCCTTCTCTTCTATTTCTTTCGCCCTTTTCTTCTTCATCCTTTTTCTTCCTTCTGTTTGTCCTTTCTGGGTTTTGTTTCCCCTCTCTCTCTCTTCCTTCTTTTCTTCATTGTAATATAAAAGATGAAGGCTCAGGCTTTTCAATCAGACCCAAGCCTTGGGCAAATGGCTGGACCTCCCAATTTTATTCTTAGCTTCTATTTTCCCAGGTCAACAATGGGATTGTTATGAGATGAAATTATATTATACAGGGGAATAACCTTACATGGTGCCAGTTTAACGAATGCAGGCTGTTTATAACCAAAGAAACAGGGTTTTGTTGTTGTTGTTGTTGTGTTGAGTTTTGTTTCTGACTAAAACTCAAGCCTGTGGTTTTGAAAAGTAGTGACTTGTGGGGTCAGGGGGCAGGACAGGGCGATTGACATGACCACTTCAAGTACTTCATTTAAGCATTTTTCTTAATAACATTTGGTGGTTATAGTGCTGTTGATGTTTGAGGTTTTGCTCTAGGGATTTCCTAACTAATTTGGACATTCAACTTAATCATTGTGGTGTTTTCAAATAGATCAGGAGACCAAATGACTAGGATGACTAAATGACCCCTTCTCTTTGCTTTGGGATCCTGCTGAAACAGCTCATTATATAGTTCATGGTTCGGGGACTCCAACTTCCCCTCACTTAGAAGGATCGTGTATAAGTGTTCTTTTTTACTATTGAATATATATGCTGTGCCATTCATCAGCCCATCGATTTCTAGCTGGGTCCTGGTATTCTGTTCTTGTGGTTGTTAAGTGGCTTCAAGTTGGTTCCAACCCATGGCAACACTGTATAGGGTTTCCAAGGAGCAGCTGGTGAGCTTCAACCACCGATCTTGCAGCCTAAATGAACTTTGCAGTCCAGCACATTAACCCACACATCAGGACCCCCTGGTATTCTAGTGGTATGTATATTTGGGGGAAATGACAGTAATTCTTTATTGTTATCACTTATTGAGTAGCTAAGAAAGAGAGTTGAGCAGTAAACCAAACTTTCAGATTATTGTTGTTGTGAAGTGCCATCGAGTAGTTCCGACTCACAGAGATCCTGCTTAAGGTTTGAAATGCTGACTGTGGAGTAACAGTCTAGAGTTTATCCTACAGCACTGTACCAGGACTCCAGACTTTCAAATGGGCAGGAGTGGGTGGGGGACAGATATTCATCATTTCCCAATATCTTTGCTTGCTAGCTGTTTCCTCATCTCAAGTTAAAAGCCAAGATTCTTAGGAAGACCATGAGAACCTCAGATACAGAAAGAGGAATGATAATATGGCTGCTTTCTCCCTTACTACTTGAGTGTGTTTCAGGACCAGGCAGATTTCTCTAGTCCTAGATGTAACTGGCTTATTGGTCCTGTTTTAAATTAGCCTCAGCAGAACTTGTGGTGAGTAACTGATGTGGTGCTATAGGATAAACACTGGATTGCTTATCAGAACCAACTCGATGACACTTAACAACAGCAGCAACAACGAAGTAATTGAAGCACCAGTAGTGATATAGGATAAGCACTGGACTGCTAACTGCAAGACTAGCAGTTCAAACCCACCAGCCTCTCTGCAAGAGAAAGATGAGAGTTTCTGCTCCTATTAAGACTTACAGCCTTGGAAACTTTACAACTATGAGTTGGAACAACAGTAACATAGTAACATAACAATTTAAGGCCTTGCTTATACAAATATGCCAAATGTGAGCACACATTTTATAATGACTGCCCTTGGATGGCACGTTCATAAAAGTTGGTTGGTCTTTGAGATGATATAATCTCTTCTCTAAAGTTTTGGTCTCACGCGAGTCATTGTCACTGGTGTTGGACATTTTTGCTTTAGCTAACCAAATGGAGGAGTTTCCCGTGGAGTACCAGGTCATCAACCCCAAGGCGATCACCATGGGCCAGCTCTATGGGTGCTTTGACCCAGTGAGCCATGAATGGACGGACGGTGTCCTTGCCAACACTTTCCGGGAGCAAGCGTCTTCAGTATCTGACGACCGCAAGTGGATTATATTTGATGGGCCAGTGGATGCTGTTTGGATTGAAAATATGAACACTGTTCTGGATGACAATAAAAAGGTAACAGCTGAGCCAAAATTCACTTTTACATGGGTGGGGTCTAAACTCCTCTGTTGCCTTAAGTGATTAATTAAGGATATTACGAGTGGGCTTCAAAAAGTGTGGGAATATGGAATGAAAAGATAAATAGAATTTTTCTATGAACTTTTGAAGCCCCCTTTCATAATTCATATGTTTATTACATTAACAATCAATATTCAATTGACAAAGTAGCAAAGGACCTGAATAAAGAGGATATGAAAATGGCTACCAAGAACGTGAAAAGATGTCCAACATCATTGTTCTTGTCAAGTGCCGTCAAGTCGGTTTCAACTCATGGCAACCCTGCATAGGGTTTCCAAGGAGCAGCTGGTAAATTTGAATCACCGACCTTGTGGTTCAAACTGACATTGCAATTGAGTGCTTATCCTATAGCACCTCGCCAGGACTCCTGAACCTCATTAGCATTAGGAAGATACCGCTTCACACTCACTAGAATGACTAAGACTGAAAAAAATTAAAAAGCAAAACCAACAGAATGGAAACTAACAAATGCTGGCAAGGATGTAGACAAACTAAAGCCTTTGTTCATTGTTGTTGGGAATGCAAAATGGTATCGTTACTATGGAAACAATTTGGTGGTCTCTCAAAAAATTAAAAGTAGAGTGACCATGTGACCAGCTATCCCACTCATAGAAATGTTTCCAAGAGACCTGAAAGCAGTGATGGGAACAGACAAATGTAGACCAGTGTTCAGAGCAACATCGTTCACAATAGCCCCAAAGTGGAACTAACCCGGCTATCCATCAACAGATGAATGGATGTACAAAATGAGGCATATACACACACAGTGGGATAGTACTGAGCCATGTTATTGTTGTGAAGTGCCGTTGAGTCAGTTCCGACCCATAGCAGCCCTGGATAGGGTTTCTGAGGAGCAGCTGGCAAGCTTGAACCACCAACTTTGTAGTTCAAACCGACTTTGCGTAGTGCCACACCAAGACTCGTAATATCCTGATCCATGCCACTTCATGATGAAGCTTGAAAACAGTATACTGAGTGAAATAAGTCAATTACAAAAAGCCAAGCAATATAGGATGTAAAAAACTTAGAAAAGGCAAATGTGTAGAGACCAGATACCACAGTGTTTACTAGGGGCAGACAGGAAGGAACATCTTGGTTTAGCTAATGTAGAGTTTCTCATAAAATGGCAATGGATGTTGGTGATGATTGAACAACATGATTGATGTGGTTGGTCTCGATGAATTGTAAAAGTGAAAAATGTTGAATTGGCAAATGGGCTAACTGTATTTTCGCAACAATGGAAAAAACAGGGCGGTAAAGAAGAAATAAAGCTCTACAAGAGAGTGGCCGTTACCAACTCATAAATTAGGGTTCTATTTGTACTTGGTAAGCTTAGTGGGTTTAGGGACAGTGTTGTCTAGTGGTTAAAAATCTTGGTGATGGCATCAGATTGGACTCCTAAGCTCTACCACTGAGCTGTGTTGTCTTGGGGAAGTTAATTAACGTCTTTGAACCTCGGAGTTCCCATTTGTGAAAAGATAATACCAAAATAGGCTTGTTGAGAATCAAATGTGATAGTACAGGCATAGTATATGATGTCGGGGAAGTGTTTGAATTGTTTATCGCTGTGTAGCAAACCACTCCAATGCTCAGTGGCTTAAGATAACCATTTATTTTGCTCATCATTTTGAAGTCAGGACTTGGCTGGATGATTGATTTCTATCCTTGTGCCTTAGAGCTGAGTGGCCAGGGCTGGAAAATCCATATCCAAGATCACTTCTTCATTCACTGAGGTCTCCTTCTTCTTTGGTCTCACTCTCCAAAGATCATCTCAATCTCTACTCCTTTCCATGAGGCTTGGGCTTCACAGTATGATGAAGAGACAAGAAATTAAGGGCTAGACTCGGAAGAGGCACAGCATCACTTCTTCTGAACCCTTTTTGTCAGAGAAGTTGGAGCCCTCCCAGATTCGAGCGGATAGAGGAATAGACTCCACCTCTTGATGTGTGGCAGAATCATTACTAAGTGCGTGTGGAATGAGAAAAATGATTGCATCAATCCTTGAAAACTACATGCTGCAAAAGTGTGCATCATGGTTAATAAAGAGAATGGCCTCTCGAGCCAGACTAGGTCTAATCCTGACTCTGCCACTTCTTGTTGTTAAGTGCTGTTGAGTTGGTTCCGACTCATAGCAGCCCTGTATAGTGTTTCCCAGGAGTGGCTGGTGGGTTTTAAATGCCGATCTTGTGGTGAGCAGTCTCGTGCTTATCCTAAAACACTACACCAGTACTCCCTCAGCAACTTACTAGCTCTATAGTATCTGTCACTGTGCCTTGGTTTCACCATCTGTAAAATAGGGATACAAGTATGTCTCTTATAGTTTTGTTAGTAAGATTAAATAAATTATTATCTGCAAACTGCTTATAATACTGCCTGACGTATGACAAGTGCTATATAAGTATTTGTTAAAATAAAATTTATTGCCATTTTAAGGAAAGGTGCCTGCACTGAATATAAGTCATTATCAACCCAAAATATATTTTCATAACTCTGTTTAAATTTCACAAGGCTGAGTGAGTCATGCTCTACAATGGAGGCCTAATTATCCAAATTATACTCATCCACTAATTATAGCATGTGCATAACTCTATGATTATATAACCTATAAAAATAGAAATAAATTGTATTACATGATGTATACAGATGTATAGGCTGGTCTTGAGATTAGCAGTATAAAGAGAGTCCAATCAAGGAATTTCTCACCTCTGGGTGTAAATCAAACTACAGTCACAGTTGTGTGTCTGTTTTACTCTTCTTGGAACTCATAGATGACATGGTTGGTGGTGTCAACTTCTGAGAAGATGTGACCTTCCTAGGTATGCACACAATGACCTGTTTCAAGATGTGCTTGATGTGGACCAGGTAACCCACAAGAAGCTTTTTAGTCTTAAGTTAGAAAGACAGGTGTTCCCTTTCTTCACCTGAGAGACCAAGGCCTCAGACACCTTATCTTATGACTCCAATATCTCGCTCGAACCCATGTTGGCAGATGAGAAACAGCACTCCTGACTTAGGAGACTTTCCTATGTATTTACTTTACTTTCTGCAAGAAAAAGACCTGGAGGTGACATGGGCTAAGCATTGGACAACTAACAATAAGGTTGGCAGTTCAAACCCACCAAAGATGAGGCTTTCTGCTCCCATAAAGATTTACTACGTAGTGAAACCTTGGGTTCACTACGGCCTCGGAAACCATGTACGGGTCGCTGTGAGTCGGAACCGACTCCACAGCACAGAACAGCAACAACAATATGAGTCACAAAACCACCACCACCATATAACTTGCTTAGCATCTTTCTTCTCCCAGCAGAACATAAACTTCCAAAGGACAGGGGTTGTTTTTTTGTTTTTTTTTTGTCTTTTGAGGCTCTGCACCAAGATCAGCGCCTTGCACATGTTGTTGTTGCTGTCGTTGCATGCCATCAAGTCAGATCAGACTTATAGCAACCATACGCATAGTAGAACAATTGTTACTGTGTTTGAGCCCATTGTTGTAACTACCATGTCCATCTCACTGAAGGACTTCTCTTTTTCACTGACCCTCCATTTTACCAAATACGAGGTTCTTCTCATGTGTGATTGGTCCCTCCTGATAGCATGTCCCAAGTATATGACATGGAGTCTAGCCATCCTCACTTCTAAAGAGCACTCTGGCTGTACGTCTTCCAAGACAGATTTGTGGGTTCTTCTGGAAGTCCGTGGTACTTTGAGTATTCAACAACACCATTATGGTGTTGACACACAGTCGTCGTTGTGCACCAGAGTCGGTTCCACCTCATAGTGATCCTGTATAGAGTTTCCGAGGAGCAATTAGTGGGTTTGAACTGACAACCTTGTGACTCAAACTGACCTTGAAGTCCAGTGCATCATCGTGCAGCCTAGATGCACCAGGACCAGATGCTCAAAGATTATATTTTGAATGAATTCAACTTTTCACTGATGTTGGAATTTACCCCCTTTTGCTTAACTTTTGCCTCTGCTTTGCACATCTAGCTGTGTCTAATGAGTGGAGAGATTATCCAGATGAATTCCAAGATGAGCCTCATCTTCGAGCCAGCTGACCTTGAGCAGGCATCACCAGCCACTGTGAGCAGGTAAATCACCTTGTGAATTAGGCACCTTCAGGGAGGGTTTGACCCCGCTGACCTGAAGCAGGGGGTGAGGGGAAATCTAAAATTTCACAAATATGATTGACCCCAGCATTTCACCTGCATTATTTGTTCTTTCTTTGGTTGGTCATAAACTCAGTCCTCAACCCACATTGCTGGAAAAGAATTCAACATTATCTCTTAAAATTGAGCATTCATCACACCAGTTCTGTTCCTAAGGATTTGCCCCCAAGCAGCTTTGGCCCATGTACAATAAAAGACATGTATAAGAATATTCGTATTGGCATAATTCTTAATAATGGACAGTTTAAAATGATTCAAATGCCTTTTAGCCGGAGTGAATGAATGCCTTCAATGCAGCTTCAATTTCTTCCTTCACTACATTGGTACTTGATCATTTGGTACCTCTTGTAATAGTTGTTATTGTTGTTGTTACGTGTCTTTGAGTCAGTTCTGACTCATAACGACCCTATATAGAGCTTCAAAGGAGCAACTGGTGGGTTTGAACAAATGCCCTTGTGGTTAGTTTGGGTTTAAGCCCAGATGGGAGAACCCTTCCACATAGGTAGTTGCCGAGATACCGAAAAACTAACCAGGAGATAGTCTGAGAGATACTAGTTTATTCCAAAGGGAAACTTACTGACCAGGACAGCAGTACTGCATCCAGTGATGGCCAACTGGACAGTCAAAATTCTGCACCAGGGGCGTGTGTTAGGATCTTTTTATATCACGTGGCAAGTAAGCCTCATGCATCAGAGCAGTTCAGGGTGATCTGTGGAACACAGAAAGGCAGGAACCAGCCACAAGGCCAGGGCCAGTGGGTGTCTGCCCATTCCTAGCATATGTATAACTAAAGCATGAAAACAAAAGGTTTCTATATACATAGTAGGAGAAGGGGGCTGTCTGCCCCTTCCTAGAGAACAAAGAGTTTCGGTATGCGTAGCAGGAGCTTGGGGAGGGGATAGGAGACATGGATTAGATTAGCATCAGGATGGGTTTTGGAGGATTTGTACTCTATCCCTACAGCAGTCCAGTTCTTATCCTCCAGTACCACACCAGGACTATGTAGTTAAGCATTGTCCAATTCTTGTTGGTACAGTCACTCTGAATTCCTTCCATCTTCTTTTGATTCTTTCTGCATCATTTAATATTTTCCCATAGAATCTTTCAATATTTCGATTGAAGGCTTGAATTTTTCTTCATTTCTTTCAGCTTAAGAGTGCTGAGCATGTTCTTCCCTTTTGGTTTTCTGACTCCGGGTCTTTCCACATTTCATTTTATCCCTTGACTTTGTCTTCTTGAGATGCCCCCTTGAAATTTTATGTTCAGCTTTTTTACTTCTTCATTTTCTTCCAGTCACTTTAGCTTTTCTATGGTCAATAAATGGTAGCCAGTATTAATAATAAAGAAGACATCATCTACATGGAGTGGAATGGAATGGGGAAAAAAAGACTTATGTTACATAAAATACTATGTACCACTATGTGGTATTTATGATAATAGCTACCTTTAATTAAGGGTCTTCTACAAACTGGCCAAAGGACCCTGGGTGTTGTAATGGTTATGCATGCAGCTGCTAAATGAAAAGTTGGCAGTTCAAACCTACCAGGAGAAAGATGTGACAGTCTGCTTCCTTAAAGATTATAGCCTTGGAAAATCTATGGGGTAGTTCTGTCTTATCCTGTAGGGTCACTATGAATCAGACTCAATGGGTATATGCTGGTCACAGTACTAATATTTTTATTGACTTTTTAAATTAAATCATTATAAAGAGACTTATAAATCAATACTTATATATCCTTTTACGGACAAGAACACAGAAACTCAGAGACATTAAAAACACCTGCTTATGGGCTCAAATTAATGACAGTAACTTGAAAGATTAGATAGGAAATTTAGGGGGCAGAGAGTTTATGTGAATGGGGGAGGAACAACTTAGAAAAAGAGGTACAAACAGCTGTGCAACTTGAAGAATGTCATCATCGTCACTGAACTGTACATATGGAAATTGTTGAATTGATGTATTATCTGCTATCTGGAGTTCTGGTGTGGCACTGGAATAAGCACTGGACTGCTAACTGCTAGGTTGGCACTTCAAACCCACCAACTGCTCCTCAGAAACCCTATAAAAGGTCACTATGAGTCGGAACTGACTCAGCGGTACTTAACAACAACAACAACTACTATATATATTCTGAATAAATATAGCAACAAAAATAAGATAAAAAGTATATATATACAAAAGAAACGTGGCTGTGGTCATTCAGTAGAATCTGACTGAATATGAAGACATGTTTCTCAGACTCCAAAGATCTGGTTCTTATAACTTGTTTTTTATCACCAGTGGGCCGTCCCTTTGGCCTGGAGCTGGTGAGGAGTCTGACCTAACCCAAGCTCCAGCTCCTTACCTGCCATGTTGTTGTTAAATGCCGTGGAGTTGGTTCTGAGTCATGATATTCCTGTATAGAATTTCCAAGGCTTCAAATCTTTGCAGGAGCAGAAAGCCTCATCTTTCTCCCACAGGGTGGCTGGTGGACACAAACTGCGGACCTTGTGGTTCACAGTCCAGTGTTTGTCATATGGAGCCACCACGCCGTAACTGCCGTCACTTATTGTATCCTTCTATGCTTGGGAACACAGATGTGAACCAGACTGGCTCTGTTTGTGCTTGGCAGGTGTGGGATGATCTACATGGAACCCCATCAGCTAGGCTGGAAACCCCTGAAGGATTCTTACATGGACACCCTGCCCTCCTGCCTCACTGAGGAGCACAAGGAATTGGTGAGACGTCCCACTCCCCTCCCACCCTACCTCCTTTTCCCTCATCTCAAAGACCACCTGGTTGCATCTTCATCTTCATCCTCCTCCTCCTCCGAGTTCTAGGAGGCAAGGTGTGGCAGGGTTGTCCTGTCTGGCCCAGTAACCTTGTTGTTTCCTGGCTGTTTGCTGTTTCTTCAGTTTTCTGCCATGTGAATGGGGTGGCGTGGTGCCATCAATTTCTCCTTCCTCCACTTCCTCTATCACTTGTCAGTTTCCGTGGAGAATCCCAGTGCCTAAAGAGCCATAGTATATGGCGACTGGAATCTCACCCCTTTTCCATTGCCACACTAGTAGAAACATCGCTAGAGGTTGCTTCCAGAAATAGGTCAAGTTAGAGAGACCTAGGTTCCTCTCTGAAGTCGTGATGGATAACCTGGACTGCTCGCCCCAAAGTTGGTGATTCAAATATACCAGCTGTTCCTCTAAAATCCTATACAGGGTCACTATTAGTCAGAACCAACTCAGCGGCACTTAACAACAACAAGGTTCGTCTCTGCTCTGCCACTTCCAATCTGAGTAATCTAGACTCCATACCTCCCACTTCTAGGAAACTGGAACCCATTGTAAATGCTTTTACTCTTGTACCTAAGAGCAGCTATTACCTTTTTCCCATCCAAAAAGAGAGGTATGAAAGTCCACTGGCCATATCCTCAGACTAGGGAAGAAGGAAGAGGAGAAACCAGAAGGGCAATGTTTGTAGTGCCTCTTGTCCTTTCCTGCAGTAAAGAGGTCTTTGGGAAAGTATCCCACCGAAGAAGCGAGCAAGGTCTGAGTCAGGTCCTGTTCCCACTGGAGAGATACTTTGAGGCTTTGTACAGGATGTGTCTCTATGTCTGTCACCACTTGCATGTATGCACAGTTTTTATAAATCCAGACATTTATACAAAACACACACTGAAAACTGCCAGACCAGCACACACATGAAGTCCTCTGGGGACTCCCCAGTGTCCTCAGCAGACAATCTCTAATGCCATATCCGATCTACAAGGGTCTATTCCCTTTTCTTCAACCCAGCTACCCTTCCCTCTTCCTCAGCCGCCGTTCAGGACTCTCCACCCCTTGTGTCTTGTTTCTGTTTCAAGAAAAGCTCAGGTTTTTACCAACTCAAGGCTTTTGCATTTCTGATTCCTCTTCCTTGAAATCTTGCCCCAGGCCATCTCACGGGTGCCTCAGCCTTACAACCAGGTCTCTGCATAAAGGTTTTCTCCTCCAAGTAGCTCTCCCTGAACTCTCTATGTAAGCTCTTCCTGTTATTCTCTGTTGAAGTGCCTGTATCTATTCCTGCTAGTACTTTCCATGATTTGTGTTTTGTTTATTTTTCTGCTTGCTTAGTTGTTTATTGTTTGTTGTCTTCTAACCCCCAAACTCAAAGTTCCATAAGGGCAGGGACCTTGTCTATTTTGTCTCTCTGGTAGCGTAGTGGTTACGAATCGGGCTGCGAACCTTAAGGTCAGCGGTTCGAAACTACCAGCTGCTCCGCGGGAGAAAGATGAGGCTTTC